CCCCTGCTCCAGCAGGGACACCCAGAGCACGGGGCACAGGGCGGCATCCAGGCACCTTTGGAAGATCTCCAGAGAAGGAGACTCCACAGCCTCCCTGGGYAGCCTGGGCCAGGGCTCTGGCACCCTCATTATGAAGAAGTTCTTCCTCACATGCASATGGAGCTGCCTGGGTTTCAACTTGGACCCACCGCCSCTTGTCCTGTCACTGGCCACCACTGAGAAGAGTTTGGCCCCTTCCTCCCTACATTCTCCCCTCAGGTACTTAGACATATTGATCAGATCCCCTCTCAGTCTTCTCTTCTCCAGGCTAAACAGGCCCAGCTTACTTGGTCTTTCCTCGTATGAGTGATGCTCCATAAATAAACCCCTGCTCAGGCTGGGCCTTGGGAGAAACTGAAAGCCAGCCAAAATGAGCAGCACCACTGACAGAAGYGCTTTCCCCAGGGCCATTGGCCAGTGCTACTGGCTTTTGCCCACAGAATCTCCTCATTTTTATTGCCACAAGCATTTGATAAAATTGATAGGAAGCTGATGTGTGATAGGAAGTGAACACACACCTTTTCCTTTCTCCCTCATGGTTATTTTTCAGTTGGATCAGATCTCTGATCTGGAAACTTTGCCAGTAGTGACTGGRCAACTGCAGCAATGCTGGACAAATAGAACTGAACACTTCTTTCAACCACTTAGTGAAAATGTTTGTCAAACTACAGCCAGAGGTGCTGAATGAGCTGCTCTGTCTCCATACTGTGCTGTAGCCTTGCGTTTTGGAGGCAAGCAATTGTCTAAGTATATTTGTATTGTTTTGAATTTTAAAACTAAAAACTACAAGACTATTAATATAAACATACATAAAGGAAAAAAGAGCAGGTTGCTGAACATTGAAGTGTCCTAACTAGTTTAATGAGACTAGYTGGCACAATAAACAGAGAGCCGAGGGTTCCCTGCGCGGCTGCCGGGCCACGAGTGTCCACGGAGCTGCCRTCGCCCTCGCAGGCGCCGCTCTGCCCAGAGAACACGGGACTCTCCGACACAGGAGCATGGAGAGGGAGCTAACGGGAAGAGAAAGGCCATCCGGATCACAGTCCCTCTCAGGTCCTACGCGTTCCCCTTCCTCATTCTGGGAAGGGAATGAGGAAACCTTAGTTCTTTTAGCTGTCTCATTGCCTTGAATGATGCTATTGACTTCTGTATGAGAACTTCTTACAGACTTTAAGGTGACTTCTTACAGACTTTAAGGTGACTTACAGACAGTCACCTTACAGACTTCAATGAAATTATTTAAGGATTAAGGTACAGCAAAGGCATGAATAGCAAGGCAGTTTAGTTTTTTTGTTAATAATTAAAAGACTATTTCCTATGATTAATTATTAAATGAAGTATAGAAAAACACATCCATGAGGTACTGGGACCTTTAACAGAGTGTTGAGTGACTTCAATGGAATTACTGTAGACATTATGTGGATATTTTCTGATTAAGGATATTGAGTTTTTATTCTCACACCTTGAAATAAAGATATTTTTCTCTACCACTCTTGTAGCACAGTCTTTATTTTTGCTACAATTTGAGTAATTTGAGGAAGGAAGGAAGGAAGGAAGGAAGGAAGGAAGGAAGGAAGGAAGGAAGGAAGGAAGGAAGGAAGGAAGGAAGGAAGGAAGGAAGGAAGGANGGAAGGAAGGAAGGAAGGAAGGAAGGAAGGAAGGAAGGAAGGAAGGAAGGAAGGAAGGAAGGAAGGAAGGAAGGAAGGAAGGAAGGAAGGAAGGATTTTTGCTCTCCATGCAGCAAAGTTGCTGTACAGTACCATGAATACATCAGGCCCTCTGTCTTAAATCAAAGGTTGGGGAAGAAAATGCAGTTTTTTCTTTAAATGCTTATGGCTTTTGCATCAAACTTTTAAGTATCTGGACAGAGGTTTTATTATGTACTTTACTGAGCTGTTACTTGAAGAGCACTGAATGAGCCAGTTTTGTGGTTTCTCTGGAATGTGTCGTGCTTCTAGGAATTCAACCTGGATCGCTGGGTCTGCAAATGCTGCCTGTAATGTGCATGGCCAGATTCTCAGCTCAGGGAACCATGTGTTTTTATAAGGATCTATAAAATATACTTAGTACTTTTTTATGGTCTTGAAGGAAGTGGATCTTGACGTCGAACATTAAAAGTGGGCATAAGAAAATAAAATCAGGAAAAATCAGTGGAAAAACAGGAAGAGAAGGAAGAACTATCCCAGGTAAAACTGGGATGCAGTAAGCAGGCAAACAATTTGCTTTTTCTCAAACACATTTCTTTTTCAGAAGAGTGTAGATATATGTATTTCTAACATACAATATAAGTTAAAATGATAGCAACGAGCACTCAAAAATAAGAAGATGCCAGAAGAAGCACTCTTTACACAACCTTCTAGCATATAACAATATATAATAATACATAAATGATTTTTTAGGAAGACCATGGAAACCACGGAAAATTATTCCATGGGATCAAAATGACATTCTCCTGCACTTCTCAAGGGGCATCCACAGTGTAGGCACCTTGAAGAGTTGCAAAGATTGCCTTACTACTTGAACTGAAGAATCTGGTAAAGGTAACCTCTTTTATAGGGAAAATAGTTCATTTCTGGACAACATAAAAACTCAGAAATTCCGACTTCAGTTCTGGGAAAGCTGATAGACTTCAGTTCTACACAAGTATAAATCTTTGTCTTTCCCTTTTCTCATTTTCTTTCTGTTCCCTTTCTTTCTGTTCCCTTCTATTTTGGCTACTTGCATATTCCATTCTTGTCAGTCCGCTCTTCCCAACTTCCCTGTTGCTACTTTCCTGTTTCTGTATCTCTGCACAATATCATATATTGTATCACCTCATCCCTGCCTCTATTTCTCCAGTCTCTCAGTCTCCAAGGAAATTTTTGAGAGAGTTTCTCTTGCCTTGGATTCAGGGACTAATATCAGAGGCCTCCAAGTTCCCAGGATGTTTAAGTCCCGCTCTATCCTCCAAGTGTCAAGAGAGCATACATATTAACGTTAGATAATATATTCATAGAAATCATAAAAAGCAGAGTCCTTAGCGTGAAAACACAGATTTAAGGAAAAGTTGTTAGCTACTTCATCAGCAAGAAAGGCTTTTCTTGCTATATGCTTGATTTTGAGTCTTGTGCAAACTCGTGGAGCAGTTTTCCTGAATATGGATCCTAGGCACGCACCATGAGTACAGCATCTCCTCAAAATGTATTTGCTGCACAGCTAYGAACTAGCTTGCACCGTGTAAGAACATTTTCCATTTCCTTTGGTGGTGTTAACCACCCTGARCTCTCCGGCAAGCACAGCGGTTGCTCTGTCTCTACCGCTCTGTCTGAAAAGCCCTTCACACACTATGCAAGGAAGCCCAGAAGTGCAGCATCGTGCTCCCCAGCCTGCACACATTAGATACTTCATCCATCAATTAGGTGGACAATTTTTTTTAAGAGACAAGAGTCTCTGTAATAACTGTCACGGCTGATTTTGAAACAAAAGACCAGTGACAAGTTGAATCTCTTTCCAAAATGCAGGACCATCTCGCTGGGCAGAAACATTCAATTTTCCTTATTTTCCTTTGGTATTTGGAGCCACTGCTATTAATGGTAGTCGCCTCCCATTTCATGTTGTTTTATGTTTTACTTTAGTGTAGGTGAATGTTAGATTCTGGCAGTTGCCTCATCCCGGCCTTAGCTATGCTCTGGGTACAGGAGGTCTTCTCCATGTGAAAAAATCCATTTTGGAATATAACTGGGGAATCAGTCATTTCTTTGGCTTAGTTTCCTTCCTCTGCTTGTCTCCAGTTGTGTCAACCCCAAACATTCCCAGCTATGAACTTGCCCTACCTCGTGTCTTAAGGAACGCCTCCGTTTGAGGCCTTATCTCTGTTTTCTACTTCTGAGGCCGAAACAAATATTCCGCTCCCATCCTCAAGCTTTATTTCACAACAGTGAAAACGTGAGCTGAAATTCTTGCATAATCACCTGCTCCAAGGAGCTGTAACAGCGCTGTGAGGATTATGAAACTTGTGATAAAACTGTTCGAGCTGACGACGCGGCGCCCGAGGGGACGCACAGACGTGCCACCCGTTTTGATGCCAGCCTTGCCTCACATCCACACCATGCGGATGTATGGCCTTAAGCTGTGATTTTAATCGATTCTTTGGATTGCTCCAAAGCTCAGGAAGGAAGACAAAAGCGTGGTACCTTTTTATGCCTTAGAAATGCCTCTGGTTTGTGTGTGTGCTGGTACCTGCCCTGCATGTCCACACCGCTGTCACCTGGCTGACACTGGGCACCACATGCCATTAGGGAAATGGGAATTATAGGCAGGCTCTAGCTAGCTATGGATGGGGATCAATCAATGGTACAGGTATTTTACAACAGCTATGAAAAAGGGAATTGGAGAGTACCCCGAGCTCTGCCCTTTTCTGTTGGAAGGCAGAGGTGGCTGAGGAGCAGAATGAGACAGGACTGGCCTGAGGCCACCCTGAGTGCAGGGAGGGTCAGCCAAAGCACTTTGGACAGGGACTCTCAATCTCTTTAACAGAAACATAGAAACGTAGCTTAGGTGCTTGCAACTAACAACTAACTAACACTTCCAGGCTTTGGCCGCGCGTGAGGGCAGTGACAGGTGATTCGGGCCTTTTATTCGATGGCTGCCGGTGACTGCAGCCCGAGAGCCCGCGTTTCCCGCAGGGCGCCCCCACGGCGGCTCCCGTAACGGCCSGCGGGGCTCGGCGGAGCCCCGGGCCGGCGACGCCGGCGACGTGAGGGAGGGAGCCGCCACTCGGCCGCCCCCGCGCCCTAACGCGCGCGCCGCCAGCCCGCCCCGCGCGCYTCCAGCCAATCCGCGCCGCCACCGGCTGAGCGACACCCTCCGCGGCCAATGGGAGCCCGGCGGGGACGGGGGGCGGGCGCAGCGGCGGCGGCGCCGCGGCCGGTGCGCGAGCGGCGGCGCCTCTGCGCGGCCCGGGCGGGCGGCCGGAGGGCGCCATGTTGCTGCGCCTGGTCGCCGAGTTCGACCTGCAGCGGGACGTGGCGCCCTGGCTGGCGGCGCGGGGCTGGGCCGCGCCTCCAGGTAACGCTGCCCGGGGCCGGGCTGCGGGAGGGGGGTTGGCCGCAGGTGCGGCGGCTCGAGGCGCGGCCGCGCTCCCTTCCGCCGCCCGTTCGCACCTCGCGCTCCGGTTTCCTCTCAGAAATGACTTTATTTCTGGCGTCGCTTCCTCCCCCACGCCGGTGGTAAAAGGGCCCCCGCTTTCATCTTCGCGATGGGCGCCTGAATTCGGAAGGGGCCGCGGCCGCAGGTCGGAAAAAGAGAAGCGCCCCGGTGCGTTTGGGGCTTTTCGCCTTGCTTTATTTCTGTTTTGTCCTCCCCTTTTGTTTTACTCTCAGCGGCAAAGCAGGTGGCTTGGTTCTGCTTTCCGAAAGCTGGTGAAAACCTTGCTCTGTGAGAACAGAAGCGGACGGTGCTGTCATCGCCGCCTCCATAGGCGGAGAGGGAGATGGACGCGGCATGTGATGGGCTTGGAGCCCCAAGTCCTTTCACTTCTTGTAATTAGCTCAAGAATTTAATCAGCCTCCCACGTTAGAGGGCTGCTCGCAGGTAGCTTCATGAGAAGGTGGTTTGATGTAAATCAGAAGGAAAGGATGAGYCCTTCAGTGATTAAAGCTCTTCACCAGTCCTTTAGTTACCAAATCCATCCTTTAAATTATTTCATACGCACTAGATAATTTACTGAATGGTTGTTGGTTGGTGGTGTCTGCACCTAGGGATCTGAAGATAAAATTCTGAAATTCTGTGCACACACAGTCGTTTCATCCGAGCTTTGAGCCATAAAGATATTGGAATGGTGCTGACTGTTGTGTGCAAGAAAACAGACAATTGTGATAAGCTTTTGCAATGTGACACAGACTCTTCTGCACAACCAGGGTACCTGATCCTGTAGCTTTAGCATCATTAGGGTTGGAAGGGGCATCTGAATTGCTGCCTTGCATCTCAGTTTCTCAGTGGATACTGGCTTTTCTCCAACCCAGTGCAGTATGTGATGTATTAGGCTACTGCAAAATCATTGATTTGGTTTTAATGGAACATGAAGCCAGGAGGTAAGAATTTGTAAGGATTCATCTAAACTTAACCCACCCCCGCTCATGCACACAGAAGGAAGTAATTTCTAAGGCTTAGGGTATCTTTGTGTGCATGATTTCAGGTGTTCATAATTTTCTTTCCTGTTGAAAGCACCATATAGTGAGTGAGCATTTCTCAAGGCCTGAGAGCTGGGAGTAGTTATGGGAGGCGGGTGTGAGCCGCGGAGAAGAGGAAGAAGTTGTAATTCCATCCCCAGTGTTTTAGTGCCAGGCTTTCCAAGGGCAGAGGGCTTCTGTGCTTCCCTTTTTGCTCCACATTCTCACCCAGGGCGATCAGTGACATGAAAAGCATCTCAGTAACGTGAAATTTTGAGTGTGATAGAGAAGTTAGGTATCACAGAGGCTCCTTGTCAGTCCTTTGCTTTAGACAAGTTCTGCAAGCTTATAATATCCGACTGTGAAACCAAGCTTCACATTTCTTCCTCCTTTCATCTCCTTGTGATCATTGCAGAGTAAATAGTGTCAGACTTGACTAAAATACCCAGAGCTGTGGAGAGCATTTTTCTTCATATCTATCAAACCAGAGATTCCCTTTATTTTAAAATTATGAGCAAGCATGCAGTTGTCAAACATACAAGTGAAATTTTGTGTCTTACTTGCTTTTCTGTCTAAGATAACATTTTGGTGGCTACAGTGACTAGGAAACAGAAAAACAGCATCAGGAAAGCATGCCTTTTTTATCTCAAATATAATGTTCGTTTCTCCCCTCAGTGTTTCCCTTTATTTTTCATTTTGTGCATTTCTGTCCAGATTTGTTCATTTGGTGTTCATCCTACCTTCCTAACCACCTGTTTTCCTTTTAACCATACTTTTTCATTCATGTCTTCCTTCATATTTGATACTGTACTGTCTTGTTTTGGGTTGCTTAACTTAGAAATATTTCTTTTTCCTGTGTGTTTTAAATCCATTTAACTATTTTGTTCTGARTTTTATCAAAATTAAGAGATAGTGTAAGAAATAGCCTTTCTCTTTCAAGAGGGGAGTGATTTTTGGCATGTATAAGCAAGTCTTGGTATGTAAAAATGTATTTAGCATGTTTGCTTTGATTGTGCCTAATTGTATAATGAACGAATGCAAATCATAATCCTGTTCCTTTTAATATGTATCATTTCAGATACTTCAGAGAATTCATCAGCGCTCTATGTTGTAAATGTTGAAAGAAATGGAAAAATTATTTATACCTGGAAGGTAAGTAAACCTCAGAACTTAATAAAAACTAGACAAGAGTATTCTCTTACCTACACTACATCTATGTCTCTGTTTAACTGAGTCCTTGTACTTAGCATTTTTTTCCCAATGAGACTTAAAACTTGAAAAACCTGACTGATTACAGGTTTGTGAACCTGAATGTTTAAACAGTGGGAAAGCATCTGTCTCTACTTCAGGCACAGGGTAAGGATGATGAAATGGAGAGTGAAGCCTCTACCAACCTGAAGTCTGTGAGGTTTTTTTGCTCCTGATTTTTTCTGGGGAATAGACAAGCCCATTCTTTAATTCAGTAATCAGACTTCCTTGAGAAGTTCTCACAGTGAAAGAATGTGCTGCTTATGACAAATTTGTCTGTCAGTACTGACTGCTTTAGTTAAACATGTTTATTCCTACTAAGAGGTATCTTAACATGCAAGTACATTGAAGTAGCCTTAGCTTATTTAACGTCTTGAAGCTAGTCTTCTTAGACAGAAGAGAATGCTTAAACTTTGTTTTAATTTTGCAGGGCAAGATCCTTAGCATGGCAAATAGATTATTTCTTTCCCCCTCAGTCTTTTTAAAACCAGCGATGYTCACTGGTTGAATACAAGGCTATGTGACTGGGTTGGGTTTCAGTAATTCACTATACCTTGAGAGCATGAATGTATTTCAGCTTTAATTCAGACACAGTGTATGTTGCTCAGTGGGTTTAAAACAAACAAACAGGAAAAAAAAAATGTTTGAAAATTTAGAGCATGTTAAAAATCAGCCCTAAGAAATATTTTGATTCCGGTAGACTTAAAGTGCCTCATACGATGATTGTGTGTTACCATCAACCAACTAGAAAGGGTGTGTGTTATTTTTGTTTTCAAAGGCAACAAGTTAATGGTATCATTTGAGCTTGTGAAAGCTCAGCCTTCAAGCAGCAGTTTCCTAAAATAGAGCTGCAGTAATTTTCCAGCCTGCAGTCAGATCACTGACAGCCAGGTTGATATTTGTGCCTTCGCTTCCAGAGCGTTGACCTCTTGAGTCTCAGAGGTTTGAGTTATTGGCCATAAATCTTCATGGGGACCAGCACCCTTCCTCCTCTCTAAAAGGAGATATTTCTTCCTTGCCCCATTGCCCTTGTAGTAAATGTGAAAGCCATTGTGTAGCCAAGTGAGAGAGAGGCATGTGGCTTATGACATAGTTTGTGGGCAKTGATATGGCCGCATTTCAGCCTTGTCCCATATGTTCTTAAAAAAACAAAACAAAAAAACACTTTGTTCCCCCGCTTGCCTCCCTTTCTTGGAATTGGGGTGATGAACTCCCTGGATGGCAGGACAGGGAAATATGTGTGGATGTGTGTCAATTATAAAGGGTGGGAGGGAGAGGGAGGAAGTGGTAGAGTATAAGAAATCAGTACCAAACTCTGTGTTCATGTACATTACTACTGTTTACCTATTTTCCGCTATAGGGAGAACAGAGAAATACCCACATTGGACTGTAYGATCGTCAGACTAAACAAAACGAGGTGAGAACAGTATCAGACTTCCACCTGAGGAGGATGGCTTCARCACTGTAGACTTGCATACTGTAAAAGCAAAGGGTGGTGAATTTCTAGCAAGTATTTGTTTGATTTAAGCAGAGGAGAGGGCTACAAGGCATTCAGTGACACTTGATAGTGTTAAGATGTAGAGCATTATTAGAAATCTGAATGACATAGAGGGTCATATTTGCGATCTTTCAGAACAACTAACAATCTCTTTCTTTTCCCTTGATCCTTGCATTGACCTGTGTCCAGAAAAAGTAGTTTTTTTCTTCCCTCTCTAATTGGTGCTTCCATTTATTTAAAATTTAAAATAAAATCCAGCCTTCCAAACTTGAAGCTTGTGAATCAGTGGCAGGATCTACGATGAGTGGGATTCTGTGCAGGCCTGTCCCTAAATGTATGAAATAGGTGAAGTCTTGTCTTGATGTTGAGGTGTATTGTGCAGATACAGTGGCAAGATCTGAGGAGCCAATGAACAAGCAAACAAATGAGGATAAAGACAATGATAAAGCCCATTTAAAATAAGCTTTCTGGCCTTGGAAGCATTTACTTGAAAAATGATAAGGGCATGTTGGTCAGCAGTGTTTTCTGAAGGAGGAGTCACTAAATGGGTTTCCTTTATAGAGTTTAAAAAATAATTTGTCATCGTGAATGTTTTTCTCAATAGCACCTGTATATGTTTGAGAGAGATCTGCACATAATCAGTTGCTCAGTCAACAGTGAAAGGACATTATTAGGTAAATATGTTTTTTATCATTCTTTATCTTGATGTTGTGATAGAGGTGATTAATGGTTTGATACGTTTGGGCCTAGCGCTACCTCAGAGTGTTTTGACCCAGATGTTGCCCATACCTTTGTATGTATTTTGGTGGGTACATCACCAGTGTGTCTAGGTCATATTCCTTACTCTACTTACACATGCTTCCTATCTAGAGGAGCTGCTTTAGGAGATTAAAATACGTGCTTTTGGCAAGATTTTTGATGTCTGCTCACTTAAAATGTTCTCTAAGATTAATAGCAAATCTGCACTCTTACTGTATATTTTTTTTTCTTGCTTAGCTGTCAGTTTCCGACAATATACAGAGGAAGAAAGAGTAAGTCGGCTACTGCAGTCAGGTACTACGGGTGGATTGTTTTAAAACTTAGAGATATTATACTTTAATTTCTCTTTTGAAAACAAAACTCTTATTTTTTTTTGCAGTATCCAAATATTTAACCTTGCTGATTGAAATTCATCCMGTTAATAATGTGAGAGTCTTAAAGGCTGTGGATAGTTGTGTTCGAGTACAGGTAGGTTATTCATCTAAGCTAAACATACACTTTTTCCACTTGGTATATTAAAGCTAAAAGAAGTACTTCATGTTATTTTGCAAATTGATATTACTGAGATAATTTAGCCATGTTTACATATATGTATATGTAAATAAATATACATTTGTATACAAAATTTTGTATACTTTTGTTACAAAAAATATATATATAATCATATATCTATATGACAAAATAAACTTCGTATAACATTTATGAAGTGGAATATTTCTCTGACATGAAGGCTAATTAATTTTCCTTCGATCTATCTAAGCCTGCTTATATTCATTGGTGACTATTATTGTGTAATAATTGCTATTGTTATTAATTGAGTCTCATCAGTGTGCCTGGCTTTATTAGAAATATATAAATATCCAATTAAGTAAACATTTACATCATTAATGTTCTAGACTATTTTATTAAGTGAGATCCTGATTTTTTTTTTTTATTGTAAACCTTTTTGTATAGTTTCTTTATCCAGATGAAGGCAGAGGTACTTCTACAGAAAGTCGTCTCTTGCTGGCTTCCGAAGATAAATGTGAGTTATTAATTTGAAAGCATGCTTTCATTCTTTTGCTTTAAAGTAGTTTTGGGAGGCTTTTGTGGCAAAAACAGTAAATAGATTCATTAGTCTTCTGAATTTTTCATAAAACTAAATCAGATTTCTGTAGCCGCCTCTGTAAATTCAGAGCAGGTCAGTTGACTATGACAAATGGATTCTGATTTAAACACATGCCAAGTGGGATAAGAATAGGACAAAGGTTCCTTGGGTTCATAGGACTTTGAATGTTCAAGAGTGAATGTGTGGAGGTGGTCACTTGCAAAAGGTAGTTTATCCCTCTCACCTTTCGCTCTTACCATGTAAGATTGTTCTTCGCATCTTTTGAAGAGGCCCATCTTTTCTGCTCTGCTGGATGCCAACTTTCAGTTGTTCGAAATTGGGTGGGCAGAGTTTTCATCTCAGTAATCCATTCAAGTTGTATTTCGATCAGTGCCATTTGTAACATCTCTTAGGCAAATTTTGCCCCCTGAACTACCAAAAACTTCTARGAATTTTGTCTAGACAGGGATTGTGAGGTCCTGCTTGTGCTAGGAGGTGGAACACGACCCAGGTGTACTCTGTAGCACTAGCACAAAGCTCTGCAGGCTCTTTCATTGTAAACAAGTGCCCTGACTTCGTTCAGTGTTTCAGCTTTTCCTGATGCTGCTGCAGTGACRTGAAGAAGGGGACCACTTCCACTAGGCCCCTCTGTTTCAGGAAAGGAGAAATCCTGCAATAGGCAAGGCATTTGCTTTCATGAATCACATAGATTTCTTTGCGTACTGAGCTGATTTTTCTGGGTCTAGTGTGCTTTCATAGCACTCTGGGAGGTCAGACATAATAAACATATTTTAAAAGCAATTTTTTGTTTGTTTATTTTAAAGATATTGAACAATTCGACATCCATGTTGTTGCAGAAGAGCACCAAGTGGTAAGACTTAAAAAATCTTGGCGGGGGAGGCGTTATTTAAAAAGTCTTTGAGGTTTATGTTTTATCTGAAAAGGTAGAAGTACCTTTTTTCTGTAATGTTACAATGCCTAGTTCAAAAACACTATTAGAAGGTAGAAGAAAACAGTGTACGTGTATTTATAAAGCATTCACAGAATCCCAGAATGGTTGAGGTTGGAAGGGACCCCTGGAGATCATCTAGTCCAGCCTCCTGCTCCAGCAGGGACACCCAGAGCACGGGGCACAGGGCGGCATCCAGGCACCTTTGGAAGATCTCCAGAGAAGGAGACTCCACAGCCTCCCTGGGCAGCCTGGGCCAGGGCTCTGGCACCCTCA